CGTCGGCCGGGGTTGAGCCTGTACACACTGACCACTGAGTCTCCTCCAGTCACTGCGTCTGGTCAGGTAGCTGCGTCGGGTCAGGTGTTTGCTGCAGCGTCCAGGTCTGGTCCTGAGTCTGCCCCCTGCTCGTGTCGCCTCCTGTCTCACGAGACTCTCCTCTGGCACCACCGTCTTGGTCACCCCTCCCTGCCTCGTCTCCGAGGCATGGCTTCCCGTGTCCTTGTCTCTGGTCTTCCCCGGTCCCTCCCTCCCCTTCCTCCGGGGCCTGGTCCTTCCTGTGTCCCGTGTGTCGAGGGGCGGCTCCGAGCTGCCCCTCACTCCTCTCAGTTTCCCCCGACAAAGGCCCCGCTGCAGACGCTTCACATGGACGTGTGGGGCCCGGCCCGCGTCCATGGACAGGGTCACGAGCGCTACTTCCTGCTGGTGGTTGACGACTACTCGCGTTACACCACAGTCTTCCCCTTGCGCAGCAAGGGTGATGTCGCTGAGGTGTTGATCGACTGGATCCGCGCAGCTCGTCTCCAGCTCAGGAGGAGCTTCGGCTTGGACTTTCCGTTTCTGCGTCTGCACTCTGACCGAGGCGGAGAGTTCTCCTCTGGCCTTCTGCGAGCCTACTGTCGTGCGCGAGGCATCCGCCAGACCTTTACGCTTCCGGACTCTCCACAGCAAAATGGGATTGCTGAGCGCCGCATTGGCATGGTCATGGACGTCGCTCGTACGTCCATGATGCATGCGGCTGCCCCCCATTTTCTGTGGCCGTTTGCGGTTCGGTACGCGGCGCATCAGATCAACCTTCACCCCAGGGTCTCCAGACCGGAGACCTCCCCAGCCTTGCTGTGGACGGGGAAGGTCGGCGATGCGTCTGCGTTCCGTGTCTGGGGATCTCGGGCGTTTGTCCGCGACTTGTCTGCGGACAAGCTGTCCCCTCGTGCTGCTCCCTGTGTCTTCCTTGGCTTCCCCCCTGACGCCACTGGGTGGCAGTTCTACCACCCCACCTCTCGTCGTGTTCTGTCCTCCGAGGACGTCACGTTCGACGAGACAGTACCCTACTACCGCCTCTTCCCCTACCGCACTCCTTCCCTCCCCCCGCCACCGCACTTCCTTGTGCCAGGTCCCCCCCCGGTAGACCCCCTCCCCCCTCAGGGTCCTGCCCCTTCAGGTGTGTCCCAGGTAGATGCAGTTGAGCCGGTCGAGGTTGCTGGTGACTCTGGTACTACTGCGGGTGCTGAGCCTGGGGGTGCTGACTCTGGGGGTGCTGCGCGCGTGGGTGCTGAGCCTGGAGGTGCTGCGTCTGGGGGTGCTGCGTCTGGAGCTGCTGAGCCTGGGGGTGCTGAGTCTGGAGCTACTGAGCCTGGGGGTGCGGAGCCCGCGGCCGCTGGACCTGCTCGTGTGGCGTCTGGCGGTGCTGGGCCTGCTGGTTCTCCGGCTGCTTCGTCTCGGCGGGAGCCACTCTCTCCACAGGAGCTGCGCGAGTGGTTTGCCCGGCGCTGGAGGCGTACTACTGGAGCTGGTGCTTCTTCGGCTGCTGAGGGTGCTGGTGCCGCAGGTCTCGGAGGTGCTAGTCCTGCGAGTGCTACTGGAGTCGGAGCTGCTGAGGGTGTTGGCGTGGAGGCTACTGCTGTCAGTCCTGGCGGCGGTCCTGCTGTGGGTGCTACTGGTGCAGCTGGAGGTACTGGAGCTAGAGGTGCCGTTGACGCTGGTACTTCCGCTGGGGGTGCTGGTGCTGTCCGTGCTGTGCCTGGAGTCGCCGCGCGGCATGGGCCGTACTTTGTTCCGCTCCTTCAGCAGGTTCTTGGTCTTCCTCCTCCCTTAGAGTGTCCACTGCCTGTCCAGTCGCAGTCACAGTTACCACCGGTCTCCCCACTGCCTTCTCCTTCTCCGTACACTGGTCCTACTAGAGGTCTTGCTGAGCGTCGTGAGCTTGCGTCTCGTCCTGCGTCGTCTGTTCGTGCTGCTCGAAATAGTGGTCGCAGTTCGCGTCAGCGTCCTCCTCCTGTCCCTGGCACGCACCGGATGTCTCTGCGTCCGTCCACTGCTCCTCTGCGTGCCCCCTTGCCCTCTCCTCCTGAGTCCTCTCTTCCTGTACTTGCCGACCCTGAGTCGGACTCTCTTCGTGCTGCCAGTCCTACTGTCACGCATCTCCTTGCTACTGTTGTCACTGACCCCTCATTTGAGTCCACTGCTGCGTCTGCTCTTGTTGCTGAGCTCGTTGACTTTGCTGCTCGCTGTCGTCTAGACTACGCTTCTAGTCTTGTTGCTGAGTCTGCGTCTGTCTGTCCTCCGTCCGTCGGGGGTGAGTGTGCTCTTAGCACGAACGTCCTTGAGGACAGGCAGGAGGAGTTCCAGTGTCTGGCTGCTGCTTCACCTCATCTCGCATCCGTACTGCTTACCCCTGAGGGAGACCCGGATGCACTAGACATCCCGACTCCGCGCTCTTACGCGGAGGCCGTAGAGGGTCCCTACTCCTCTCAGTGGCAGGCAGCTATGGATGCAGAGATGGCTTCCTGGAAGTCCACAGGCACCTACGTTGACGCGGTTCCCCCTCCTGGGGCGAACATCGTCAGTGCCATGTGGATCTTCAGGGTGAAGCCGCCGGGCACTCCACCTGTCCTCAAGGCGCGGTACGTGGCTCGTGGCTTCAGTCAGCGGCAGGGAGTTGACTACTTTCAGACCTTCTCTCCCACCCCGAAGATGACCACTCTTCGGGTGCTTCTACACGTAGCCGCTCAGCGTGACTACGAACTTCACTCCCTTGACTTCAGCACGGCTTTCCTACAGGGTAGCCTGCACGAGGAGATCTGGTTGCGCCGTCCACCTGGCTTCACTGGGACTTTCCCTCCTGGCACCCAGTGGAGCCTCCAACGGCCAGTCTACGGTCTCCGCCAGGCACCGCGCGAGTGGCACGACACACTGAGATCTACACTTGCGGCTCTTGGGTTTGCTCCCTCTACCGCCAACTCGTCGCTGTTTCTGCGAACCGACACTTCTTTGGCGCCGTTCTACATCCTCGTGTACGTCGACGACTTGGTCTTTGCCACAGCTGACACTGCTGGACTCGCCCACGTGAAGTCCGAGCTGCAAAAGAGACACACGTGCACAGACCTGGGTGAACTGCGCAGCTACCTTGGCTTGCAGATCACCCGGGACAGAGCATGCCGCACCATTACCCTGACTCAGTCACACATGGTGTAGCAGGTCCTTCAGCGCTTCGGCTTCACGTACTCCTTGCCTCAGGCCACTCCTCTGTCTACTCGCCACTCGCTCTCAGCTCTGCCTTCGGATGAGTCCGTAGAGCCGAGTGGCCCGTACCCAGAGCTTGTTGGCTGCCTCATGTACCTGATGACCTGCACACGACCTGACCTTGCATACCCTCTTAGCATTCTTGCACGCTATGTTGCTCCTAGGAGACACAGACCAGAGCACATGGCTGCAGCGAAGAGGGTGTTGCGCTACTTGTGCAGTACGTCGGGCATGGGGCTAGTGCTTGGAGGGTGGAGTCCAGTGGTCCTCACTGGGCACGCGGACGCTTCTTGGGCAGACGACCAGGCTACGCAGCGGTCGTCACAGGGTTACACCTTCAGCCTTGGTTCCGGCTCTGTTTCGTGGCGGGCTACCCGCTCGTCTTCTGGTCTCGGCTCCAGTTGTGAGGCTGAGATCTACGCCGGGGCCATGGCTGCACAGGAGCTTCGCTGGCTCACCTACCTGCTGACTGACCTCGGAGAGCCGCCTCGTTCTCCTCCAGTGCTGTACGTAGACAACAAGGCCATGCTGGCCTTGTGTCGAGAGCAGAGACTGGAGCACAGAACGAAGCACATTGCTCTTCGCTACTTCCTTGCTCGTGAGCTGCAGTAGCGTGGTCAGTTGCGTCTTGCGTACGTGGCCTTTGAGGCCAACACTGCTGATATCTTCACCAAGGCACTTGCGCCTTGTGATCATCAGCGCTTCTGTACTCAGCTTGGTCTTGTGCCTGTCTTGCCTCACTTGCTCACCTCTTGACCTTGCTTGTACTGTTACATATATATATACACCTGCTCTTGCTTGTCTAGCTTTCTATATATATGTACTCATGCATGTGAACTAGCCTTGTGGCCTTGAGCTTGTGCTCGGAATGTGTGGTGACTTTGTGATCCACCCTGAGCTTGCTTTGCTTTGCTTTGCTTGACTGGTCTTGTGACCGCTTGTTCTCCCCCACTTTGCCTATGGGGGTGTATCAGAACATTATAGCTTATGCTTTTGTGTAGGCTGTAGTGGGGTAGCCCATATGGGGTACAACCCAATTAGGGTTAGTACTTGTACCCAACTGTTTCATAGTTCATTGATTCTCGTTCTCATTTTCTCACTCAGTCCTCCCCCACAGCTTCCCCACCCTCAACCCTCACAACCACAACTATCTGTTCCATTCAATGTCAAGTGCTGCCACCATCAGTCTTGCTCTTGTTGTTGTTGTCGCTCGCTGCTGTTCTGATACGAAGAAACCCAACTCCCAAAAGCTTCTGTGCAGCCCCTCTAAGGCCGACATTGAGCTGTGATTGAGGGGTAGGGACAGCAATTCATGTCCGATCGTGTTGCTTCTAGTGGTATGGTTTGCGTCGCTCGGTTTGCCTGTCTACTGACTGCCTCCCTTCCTGTCCTTAACTACTCAAGAATTCAGCATTGTTCCATTCATCAGTCGGTTCTCCAAGAGTTAGCGTGTTTCACTCCAATCCATTTTCCAAGAGTACTAGTTGATTTTCATGCAATGTTGCACTAGACGCTCTAGCGGATGCAAACGAGCTTCATAAGTAGAGCTATAACTGGCATAAACACAGCTCATAACATACCACTGCTTACAGGGCTGGATGGAAAGAAAAAAGAGGAGCAAACGACAATAAATACGAACCATGCCTACACATAGAGAACTAGACATTGCAACTACAATGAGGGGGGGTGACAGGTTTGTGGTGGATGGAGGCCATAAGGTAGTTGTAGCAATACCAGCAGCAAGCTGGCTGCTCATGCTACAGTAGAGCCACAAGGGAGAGCGCAACAGCCAAGAGGATGGGGCCTGGGCACAACACACAGACAAATGCAAGAAAAAGAGGAATGTTAAACATGTGGGTTGAAGAGCAGTTGCACCCATAGTATTGGCTATCACGAACACACAGCACAGCAAAGCACAGCACAGCACAACACACGGTCATGTAGCTACATACACAGGAGATTCAGCGGCAAGAAATGAGGGGAAGATAAAGGAGAAGAGCGTGGAGGCAGCGCTCACCTGCAGCAGCCTTGCTCTGCGATTTGCTCGGGGGGGGTGACCCAGCAGGTGGTGCTGGCGTGCCACTCGCCGCAATCTTAAATGCATCCTTCCCACCACTGCTGCTGTTGCTGGACCCAGCAGCAGCACCAGCACCTGTGGCAACACTGCCGTTGGGCTTCCCACCATTCGTAGTGCCATTTGTACCAGTGTCGCGCGCGCTGTCGTTAGCAGCGCCACCAAGTGCCACGACAGGCACGGCAATGGGCATAGGCACGTCACCCTCTCCTCCTCCTCCTACGCCGCCCTTTAACACGGGCAAGTCGCGGAAGAGGGGAAACAGCACGCCATCCACACCATGCACCACGATGCCATCGCTGTCCATCACATCAGCTCGCACCACCCGTGCCACGTTCATGTCGCTGCCAGCCTGCTCCCACATGGCATCAAAGCCTGCCGCCCAGGCGAGGGAGGAGGCGTTGAGCCAGGCGAGGTACTCGCTGGCAGTCACGTTCAGCCCCGGCACGACCCCGTTCATCAATTCCGTCACATTCCCGCACCACTGCTGCTGCTCCTCCGCGCTCCAGTTGCCCAAGTTGCCCCAGTCGCCCCACCCGCCCATGACCCTCGGGATCAACTCCACCAGGACGATGGGCATGGCAGTGGCGGGGGACACATAAACGGGGGCGGGCATGTTGGTGGCGGGGGGGACATCAATGGGGGCGGGCATGGTGGAAGCGAGGGGCACATCAGCAGGGGCGGGCATGGAGGTGACGGGGGGCGCCACCGAGCCGTCGCCGTTGGGAGGAGACGAGATGGTGGGGGGCACGGGGAGACCCGGCCCATCGATGGGGATGGCGGTGTCGTTGGTTGCAACAGTGCCGTTGGCGCTCTCAACAGTGCCATTGGCGCTGACGACGGTGCCGTTGGCGAAGAACGTGTTGCCCTCCGAGTCCACGGCCACGGGGCTCGTCGCAGGGTCAAAGATGACCGTGCCGTTGGCCGCCACGGCGGTGCCATTCGGGAAGTACACAGTCATGTCGTACCCCAAGCTTACCCCCTTGCTAATCAGCGCGCGCTCCGCGGGTGGCTACACGTTGAGCAGCGCGGCGGGCTCGCTCGTGTTGAAGTTGATCCACAGCCCCCGCCCGTTCACCGTCGTCAGGTTGCCCGCATCCCCCGCCGCTGAGAACTGCGCCGCAATGGCCGCCACGTTGAGCACCGCCATGGTCGCCACGTAGTGCGCGAGGAGGTCCCACAGAGCCTGCAGCGCCTCGGGCCGCTCCTTGGCCAGCGCCGCCAGCGACGCGGGCGTCCCGTCGCCGGAAAACACGGCGCTCAATGCGGCGAGAAGCAGGTTGAAAGTCACTGGGTTCACGTTTGGCATGGACGTGCTTAGATTGGGAAAGGTCCAGTTGAAGTCGGGCGTGGTGATATTGATGCCAGGCATGGTCATGTTGGGCATGGTCATGTTGAAATCGGGCGTGGCAAGTGTCATGTTGTCCGCAGGCATTGTCCCATTCAACCCGTCCGGCCTGCTGGGAATTTTAGGAATGGGCAGGTCGGGAACGCCTGGCAGCAGCAAGTCAATTTGCGGAAGGCCGGGAACCATCGCCGAGCTTGCATCGCCGCTAGTAGCGTCTCCCGCCTGGGGGGGAACGCCGGGCGCTAGGGTCGGCTGCGCGGGGCTAATGGATTTGGCAGCGTCCGAACCGCCCGCGCCGCCCGAGCTGTTCCCATACTTCCGGAGGGTCTCGCCATAGACAACGGGATCGGGGCGCACGTTTCTTGCCCGCACTTTTCGGCTGCTTTATAGATTCGAGGCACCAAAAGAGTAGAGGCAGAAATACATGTACTTGTGGTATGGGTTGGGCGAGCAGGGATGAAACTAGAGGGAAACCTCGGGGAGCACGAAAAAGCGCTGCTTTCGCTCGCAAGTGGCACGGTCTATGAAAGAAAGAGATTCTTCACCGCGCTAGCGCGCGGTTCGCCCCGCACCGCCTCCCCACCCCACCACGGGCTGTACAGAGCGACTGAAGGAAACACAGCAGCGGGAGTGAGAGGCCGTGCGGGAAAAGGTCGAGCGAGAAGGCGCGAAGAAGTTGCCCGTCTTCCACGCATATGGCTACTTGGCCTTACATACTTAGCCATGGCTACTGGGCTTTTCCAACTTGGCGCTGTTCTATAGGCGTTATTGCCTTCGCATCAAATTGGCTGTTATTGCTTCTGAGTGTTTGTGCTGCGTGGATGTTGCCATGAGGACGCGTCAACTCCCACCACATTTGAGCGATCAGTCATGCGCAGGTTCGTAATTTCAACAGGTTTTAAAGGCCTAGTAAGTTTGATTTTGGTTTTTTTTTACTAAGCTCGAACGCAAACCGCTTTGCACCGTGCCGAAAGATAAATAAATGTAACTAACCGTGTAGAGCCGTTCCTAAAGTTCGAACTTTGGGAAGTTCGAAAAAATATCATACGCGCTTGCGGTGGCCGATCAAAATTGAACGATCGATCGCCGAAGATTTGGGGAGTTGGCGCATCCTGAAGACCCCGTTCGCCACTACCGCTTCATTTACAATCAAGTATATGTACAAGAGGTACATTCACAGATTTCTAGAGGCATAAGGAACAAACATCCATGGTAGGAGGAGGGACTAAGGGCACTCAACCATCCGGACCTAGGTAGGCAAAGTCAGCCACCGAGGGCAGGGTGGCCTTGGATGCCCGCAAATCAGGAGCACCGGTAAAACGAATCTGGGAACGACGTCACACTGTCCTAGGTTGCTCACGCTGAAGAACGAAGGAGACACGCTTGAAGAAGTTGGTTTCCAGAAGTTGAGGCACAAGATCTGTCGTACCACTCATGTCACAAATACGAGCTGCACCACGCCGGCTGCAGTCCTGAAGGAACTGGAGGAAGGTCTTTCCAAAACAACCGAAAGTCTCGATAGCCAGGGGGAAGAACTTGACATCATGACGATCACGTAATGAGGCAGCGTAAAGCGAGTTCTTTTCCAGCTCCCGAGCACTAGTAGCAGAACTGATGACAGTAGCAGCATTAGAGTGAGGGAAACCATGCTGCGGATCTGCCACCGTGACGTCCAAAGCCCAAGTCACCCCAGAACTCGTATCTCTGCAACTGAAATCGGGACGACGACCAGCCAGGAGGTGGCTGTCCTCAAGCTGGGAAGGCAGACCAAGCTCCTTCACAATCCGGTGAACCTCGTGTTTGACGGCGTCATGGACCCTGATGGGCTCGTTTCCGGTAGGGCAGCGAAGGACATGAGAGGCAATGGATGGGTCAGTGTAAAAGAAACCGCACACTCAAGTGCGGGAGGTGGTGAGGTGAGGGATGGGAAGGCCGAGGCAGATTGCAGCTGCAATTCTCCACTCGGTTGGGGAAAACTGAAGGTGCTGCGAGGATGGAGCCACAGACAGCCAGTCACCTTCATGGGGCCCTTGTAAGGAGGTTAAATGGGCCAAATGAAGGGGAGAGGTTACTGTGGAGCACACCCGCTCGAGCATGGCAGCTTCCTTGAGTTGGGAAAGGTAGGAGTAGAGCTTTGTCAGAATTACATTATTATAACTGCATGTAGATCTAGCAGTAGTGTAGTTATCACATTTTCCTGTTTGGTGGTTTACCCCCTTTCCTCCCCTATTTGTACCCTTGACACTATGGTGAAACCCCTCTTCTTCTTGCACTGAACTCTCTCGACACCCTTCCTCTCAATCCTTGCCATGGCTCCTAAAGCCACCACCTAAGTCCTCCTTTTGATATGGTTTCAGAGCGTGTTCCTTCCTGGAACCTTCCAATATTTTCAAGGATCATGGGCCCACCCATCGCACAGCCCGTCATGCGCCCCGCGGGTCCCCCGAATCGCCCCGTGGCGCCCTTCCGTTTCGTCGCCCCGCGGCCCCCCGTTTCGTCGCCCCGCGGCCCCCCGTTTCGTTGCCCCGCGGCCCCCGTTTCGGCGACCCGCCGCCCCCGTCGCCTCGCCAGCGCCTACGCGGACGCCAGCGACGAGCGTCGCTGCAGGCGCCCGCTACCAACGACCAGCGCCCGCCGCGGACACTAGCGACGAGCGCCAGCGCCTGCGTCAACTGCGCGCACCAGCGCCTCCGCCAGCGTCAGCAGCTTCGTACCCCGCCCCTTCCCTTCCCTTCCGCGGCTTCTACCGTGGAGGAGGGGGAGGGAGACGTGGGGGTGGCGGGTGTGAGCATCCTGCAGCCCGTCCCTCCCCTCCCTCTTCCTCTCTCCTTGCAGCAGTCGTTGCTGGGGGGGGGAGAGAGGTTAAGGGGGGAGATGAGGGGGTGGCGGGTGTGAACCCCGAGCAACCGCCACTGCTACTGTGGCACCTACTTCTGCAGCCCCTGACGCCACTCTGTCTTCGTTCGTCTTTCTTTGCTGTTGAGCTGCAGGCGTTGCCATTGAGTCCTGCGTTGTCGCCACCCTTTCTAGCCGCACGCACCTGCTCTCCAGGCTACCTGCGCCACATGCACCTTCTTTTTGTTTCTTGCCTCAGGGCTTACTGCAGCTATCTCTGCCACTACTACACTGGTTGTCATTGCTCTTGCGTGCTGTTACTTTGAGTACACCTACAGGTTGTGATTTGCACTTTGCTATTCCTGCATGCAGTTAAGGGGGGATGTCAGAATCACATTATTATAATCTAGCAGTAGTGTAGTTATCACATTTTCCTGTTTGGTGTTTTACCCCCTTTCCTCCCCTATTTGTACCCTTGACTCTATAGTGAAACCCCTCTTCTTCTTGCACTAAACTCTCTCGACACCCTTCGTCTCAATCCTTGCCATGGCTCCTAAAGCCACCACCTAAGTCCTCCTTTTGACAAGCCTGTGGGGGTATCCGGAAATGAGGGCAGGCCAGGAGGGGAAAAGGCGAAGAATGTCCGGGGGAAGGCGTGACATGGCTGAAACGATACAAGGGTCTAGGGAGTCTATGGTGTCGCCAGAAATGAAAGGGCGGAAGAGAGGAGCACCGACGATGAAGAAGTGGGAGGAGAGGAGAGGAACAGTCTAAGCCCAGCTGCAGAGGAAATTGAGATCAGCAAACCCGGCAGCAGAGCGGAGGCCGAAATCACCCAGACGGATAGGAAGGAACGGCCGGTGGTGTGCAGTAGAGAGATGGTCAAACTTAGATGGCCAGAACTCAGAACCAATGAGGCAGGTGAAGTGATCAAGCAGGCGGTTATCCCAGTCAGCGTATAACTCTGTGATTTCAGGGAAAGGAAGGACCGTGCGGAGGAGGAAGGAGGGGCGTGCTGAGACGTAGAGGGTTAGAAGACGAGACGCTATGTGAGGTCGTGAAGGTCGTGGAGAAGTTGCAGTGACGCAGCAGAGGAGCGGAGTTTCTGGTCGGCCGAGGAGATGATGTATGAGTCTGATCAGATAGGTACCCCGGCGACAGTGAGGCCATTAGGAGAGATGGTGAGATTTGGTGGGGGGGAAGCGTCTGGAGGAACGTCAGAAGGGCCATAAAGAGAGCACTTGGAAGGTTGAACAGTCAGACCAAGAGGCTGTAGGCGGAAAGTAAGCGTGTTGTAGGTGGCGAAAACGCCTGGGGCTGGGCCAACAATGTAAGTGTCATCGGCATATGAGGTGATAAAAGTTGAGGGGTGGAGTTGCTGAGTAGGGTGGATGGCAAGCTGCTAAGTAAGGGCATAGAGGAAAGGACCACATGGGTCTCCCTGCCGCACACCTGAAGCTGATTGGAGTGTCTCAATGATAGGGTCGTTGCGGTAGTGGAGGGGAGAGGGTGCAGGATAAAAGAGGCGGAAGAAGGGGATAAGGGAGGAGCACAACCACTACCACTATCACTTCAACGTCAAAAGAACCAGCCGCTTGCACTGTACACAACCGTGCTCAACCGCTTTTCCTGAACAGGAGCAAAAAGCATCAACAATTGTGAAGAGCACAATGTCTTGCTTGTTAGACGACGACTCCACTGGGGATCGAACCCAGAATCTCTGGTTCCGTAGACCAGCGCCTTATCCATTGGGCCATGGAGTCATGTCATGTTGGTGCTATAACACAGATATTTTTTCTTAACTTATAGTAATCTGTTTCCTTCTGTTAGACAAAACAGACCAGTACAGGATTCTTCATGTTTCAAAAACTGGGTTCTGGACTGGTCCAACAGCTCAGGCCTCAGATAAAAAACTCAGCGACAGACGATCCAAGGGGCAGGTCAGGCATCGCGGGGCAGCAGCGGTGCGAGCAATGCCAGGTCCGACTTGAGCTGTGGGTGGACGTTATTGAATGAGGTGACGGCGAGCGGAGTGCATGTCGGACCAAGGGGCAAGTTAGGCATCGTGGGGCAGCAGCGGCGCGAGCCACGCCAGGTCCTCCTTGAGCCGTGAGTGGATGTCGATGGCAGCAGTGATGGCGAGCGGCGTGAGTGTCACCTGCACCATGGGTGGCACGGTATAAGCAAGGGCAGAGAGGAGTTCTAAGGCACCTAAAAAACGGCGAACGGAGTGACTATCGATGGATGGCACGGCAAGTGAGAGGAAGGAGGCATGGGAAAGGAGAGAGGAGAGAGGCGAGAATAGAAAGAGCAGGTGATAATCACCACTCACACCCCCATCACCACTCACACACCCAGCATCACTCTCAACCGCATCACACCCATCACCACTCACATAGCCAAGTGCGAGAGCAGCGGAGTCAAAAGCGGGGTCCTTGTCAAGCACATCCCACCCACTCGGCTGGGCAGGAGAGAGGGATGCGAGGGGGGGGGAGGTAGGTGAGAGGGGTGAGTATTGGTGAGACTGGTGCTACTGACGCTTTAACAGGCAGGCCATGTGAAAGGCTGGTAGAGCAGCAGAGTCAAAGGCCGGATCCTTGCCAGCATTTCACATCACACGGCAGGGCGGGGTCCTCGCACCACTCGCGGAGTCAAAAGCAGGGCGGGGTCCTTGACAGGCTGCGAGGGGAAGTGGGGTGTGGGGGGAATTTAGGGATGCTACTGATGAGTTTCTTGTACAGTCAGGCCACATGAAAGGCTGGCAGCGCAGTGGCGCAAAAGCAGGGCGGGGTCCTTGTCAAGCACGTCCCACCCACTCGGCTGAGAGCGAGAGAAAGAAGGGTGCGAGGGGGTGAGACGGATGAGTGCAGGTGAGAGGGGTGGTACTGACGCTTTGACAGTCAGTTTATGTAAAAGGCTGGCAGCGCACCGGAGCCAAAGGCTGGATCCTTGTCAAGCACGTCCCACCCACTCGACTGTGGGGGAGAGATGTGTGAGACTGATGATGTTTCTGAACAGCCAGGCGACGTGCAAGGCCTGCAGAGCTGCAGTGCCCCATGCAGGCTACCAGAGCTGCAGTGCCCCATGCACGCCACCAGAGCTGCAGTGCCCCATGCACGCCACCAGAGCTGCAGTGCCCCATGCACGCCACCAGAGCTGCAGTGCCCGGAATGAAGTAGCAGAGACTAAGGCACGGTACTTGGCTCGACCAGCAAGTCCCACGCACTTGATCCTCATACTATTGATGCGACATGCACCTCACGGCGTTTCTCAAGTGCATCTCATGGAGTGGCTGCCACGTGTCAACCATGGTCAACAATGGTCAACTGCGCTTCCCCTTGTGCCGGAAGTGCATCTTATGCAGCGACTGCCTCTTGCCAACGGCAGTCAATGACAGTCAACGATGGTCAACAGCGGTCAACGATGGTCAACTGCAGCTCACCTTGTGCCTGAAGTGCATCTTACGCAGCGGCTGCCTCTTGCCAACGATGGTCAACTGCACCTCACCTCGTGCCGGAAGTGCATCTTATGCAGCGGCTGCCACGGCTCATCTCCGCCATCCTCCTTGCTCTCCTCGCCAGGAGTCTTGGACCGCGCTGCGCCCTGTGGGATGCGAGAGAGAGAGGTGAGATGAGTGCATGGGGTGGTGAGAGGGGTGAGAGTGGCTGCCATGGCTCGTCCCCGCCATCCTCCCTGCTCTCCTCGCCAGGAGTCTTGGACCGCGCTGCGCCCTGTGGGAGGCAGAGATAGGGGATGTGTGGTCGAGACTATTAAGGTAACAGTGAGGCTTTGTGGACGGCCAGGACTCTGGACTGTGCTGTGCCCTGTGGGAGGGAGAGCGAGTGGCGTGGGGGTGAGAGGGGTGCGTCGGGTTGTGATGGGTTCACAGGGGTGAGAGGGGCGCGCGGGGTTGAGAGGGGTGCGTGGGGTTGAAAGGGATGAGCTTTTGGGGTTGCTTGACAGTAAGGCTGGGCTGGCCAGTCATGCCGTCCATTTAGGCATGTAATGTTCCAGCATTACAGGGCATAGCCTGCATGGACCATTACATGCCCAGAAATGTAAGGTTTTATCATGCAGACTATGCCACATGGAACATTACATGCCAGCATGATGATTAGAACACACATCAGACTTTTAACACTTTTGTCAGCGACTTATTTTCACACCTACGACTATACTAAACTACTAAGAACACAGACGAGCACTCACAGCAGCAGAGGCAACCGGTCCAGTTTCAGCCAGAGAGACCGCAGCAGGCCCAGTCATGCCCGGAAGGCCTTTTGAGTTGACTCACAAGTCACCTCGTAAGAAGGAAAGAGATGAGCACTCACAGCAGCAGAGGCAACCGATCCGATTTCAGCCAGAGAAACCGCAGGAGGCCCAGTCATGCCCGGGAGGCCCCTCCCTCCCACCATTCCCGGCAGCCCCCTCCCTCCCATCATGCCCGGCAGGCCCCTGCCCCCCATCATGCCCGGCAGGCCCCTGCCCCCTGCCGCCGCTCCCCCCATGCCTGCCAGCTGCACCCCGGTGCGCTTCTTGGCGATGTGCGTCCAGGGGAAGGCCACCCTTGCCTGGCCTTGCTGGGCCAGCTTGAAGCCCTGTTGAGGATTGAGGGAATGGAGGATAGAGGATGGAGGAACGAGAGGCAAAGGGAGATTCAGAGCACCACTCATCCCTGCCAGCTGCACTCCGGTGCACTTCTTGGCAATGTGCGTCCAGGAAAAGGCCACCCGTTCTTGGCCTTGCTGGGAGAGTTTGAAGCCCTGCCAAGGATGAAAGGGATGAGAGGATGGAGGATGGACGATTGAGGATTGAGGGGCGCCGCTGCTGTTACCAGTATGGCACGCCATAGCATTCTATACCATATATGGGTGCCATATACAGGTGCCAGAAGAAAGCACACACCTTGGACTTGACGGGGTCAAGCGGCACGTTCACGTTCAGCAGCAGCGGGTCCCCTCCGCTGCTGGATAGCTGACCAGAGGTTGCTGCCTCGAGAACGCAGCGAATGAGAGGCAGACACGTGGCAGCGGCGGGAGAAAAGTGGGCGTCAGTGCTTGCAGCGGCCCTGGTGAGTGTGTGGCCAAAGGCATGTGAAGGAGGGGACGGAGTGGAAGGAATGATATGGTGGAGAAGATGTGATGGGACGGGATGGGATGGGATGGGATGGGATGGGATGGGATGGGATGGGATGGGATGGGATGGGATGGGATGGGATGGGATGGGATGGGATGGGATGTGATGGGATGGGATGGGATGGGATGGGATGGGATGGGATGGGATGGGATGGGATGGGATGGGATGGGATGGGATGGGATGGGATGGGATGAAAGGTGGAACCAACGAGGAGTGTAAGTCTGTCATGCAAGCAGTTCCTGATGGAGAGCGAGATGGTGGGAAAGGAAGAAAGGATGGGACGGGTGGGTGGGCAGGCACAGTATATATAAAGGGACAAAAGGTGATCAGTCACTATAGTGACAATCACTCTGTCATAGCAAGGGGCGCTGCGCTTGGTTGGTCCCGTCCCATACAACATGAAAGCAGCATCCAGAGGAATACGATAAGCGTGCAAGCATTGAAACAAGGAAAAGGCACTGACCAGTCGAGGGAGATGGAGATGCCTGGAGCGCCCTGAATTACGGCCTCCCTTGCGCCCGCCACCGTGCCGGAATAGATGCTGTTGGTTGGGCGGTTCCATGGTGGGTAGGGATAGGGACGGTACAACGTGTGGAAGGGGGCCATGTAAGCACAAGAGGAGCAGCTAAGGGGCTTGGAGCGCTCTCTGAATCACTGCCTCCCTTGCACCCGCCACCGTCCCTGAATAGATGCTGCTGCGGACATGGCAATGGCAGGAGAAAAGAGATTCAACGTGTGGAAGAGGACCAAGCAAGCACAGGAGGAGCAGTGAGGGGTGCTTGGACTGGAGAACAAGGTGAGGGGGATGCTAAGTTGCCAACATGCGTGATGAACTCCAAGAAGCACATGCATGCAATGCAAGGACAGGAAGAAAGACTTTTGAGGCGCCTCCAAATTGTGACCCTTTTGAGTCGACTCAAAAGCCAACATGCGTGATGAACTGCGTGAAGCACATGCATGCAATGCAAGCACAGGAAGACACGAATGAGGGTGTGAGAGAACACATGGATATGGCTGAGAAGGGTCCTTCTGCTGGTGAAGGTAGATGGCGTGATTTGAGGTGAATGGAAGGTGGCTTTGAGCACAGGCATGGGATGTGACCCAGCAGGTGCTCAAGCGGCAACACAGGCGGTAACTCACACTTGGCGGCCTGTGTTGGCGCCCTTGTTGATGCCGCTGATGACCTGACCTCACACACGCCATCAACATGCATGCAACGGATGCAAAGGATCAAGAGAGACAAGGATCAGGAGAAAAGAAAAGAGATCCCCGACTAGGAGAGAAAAGGATGTACAACAAAACAAGATTCACAAAACAGAGCGATCTTATTTTGACGGATACGACAGTGGTATCTTTGAGAAGAGAACGGCACCTGAGGACACGCATGAAGCAACAACACCAGGAAACACACAGTCGAGCAATTAGACCATGCTTGAAACTAATGGTTTCGCTTTGACCGTGTTTTGACCACATGAGCCTCGCTGCACCGCTTTGAACCACTCCATACCAGGAGGGGCTTGATGCCCTTGAAGAGCTGGCCAGAAAGCCCCATTGACGCACAGTCTGCCGGTGTGCCTGTTGGGAAAGGCAGGGGGAGGAGAACAGGGAAAAGTTCTGAACGCCTTAACTTCTGAGACGACTCAACATTAACTGAGAGGCCCGCAGACGCACAGTCTGCCGGTGTGCCTGTTGGGAAAGGCAGGGGGAGGAGAACAGGGAAAAGTTCTGAACGTCTTAACTTCTGAGACGACTCAACATTAACTGAGAGGCCCACAGACGCACAGTCTGCCGGTGTGCCTGTGGGGATTGGGAGCAGGCAGGAGGGAGAAGAGAAAGGGGAGCTTTGAGTCGAGTCACAGGTCACCCGAAAGGCCCATGGACGCACAGTCTGCACGTGTGCCTGTTGGGAGCAGGCAGGGGGGACAGAGATTCATCCCAAGCTTTTTCGAACCAACATTCTTCATACAAGAAGAAAAGACCGACAACGAATGGGCTGAAGCGCAGTGTGTGGACCGACAGGGTGTTTAAGTTGTGAATAATGAGAGACAGCTATGAACGAGCAGGAACAGCAGCGCGCACCTGTGAGCGAGTATGCCACAGCAGCGCCCTCATAGTCCTCCACCAGATTCGCCTCGAGCGTCTCCCGGATGGTGATGGACTGCGCACACGCTGACCTCTCCCTGGTGCGGGTCATAGAGAGGTACAGAGGGGCACAGGCGGGTAGAGATTGGTACAGACGGGTACAGAGACGGTGAAGACACAGGTTGGATTCAAAATGTGCCCCTCATAGTCCTCCACCAGATTCGCCTCAAGTGTCTTCCGGATGGTGATGGACTTCTCGCTGACACGGGGAACAGAGTGCATCATAGGGGTACAGATGGGTACAGAGGGGCATGGTGAAGACACGGATTGGCATTGAGTGCTTGGATTCAGAATGTGCGCCCCTCACAGTCCTCCACCAGGTTGGCCTCGAGTGTCTCATGGATGCTGAAGGACTGCGCACACGCTGACATCTCCCTGGCGTGGGGCAGAAAGGGGCACAGAGGGGCAAGCAGAAGATACGGGTTGGCATTGAGTGCTTGGATTCAAAATGTGCCCCTCATAGTCCTCCACCAGGCTCGCCTCAAGTGCCTCCTGGATGGGATGAACTGCGCGCACGCTGACTTCTCCCTGGCAAGACCATGACAGTACGGCACCGGGGAGAATAGGGAACAGAGGGTCACAGTGGGGCAGAGAGGAGCAAGGCGAAGACACGGCTCAACATAGAGTACTTGGCGTCAGAGTGCGCCTCATCCGCCCCTCCTAGACCTCCATCAGGCCCCTCCTGGAGGGGATTGAGGGGGAGAGGAGGCGGCGAGACGGGAGGGGAAGCAGTTATGGTGTGGGCGGCAGTCAGGGTTCATGGGACGCGGTGCGACGTGCACATCAGGCGCACAGGGGGGGGAAATGGATGCACAGAGAGGGCGCGAAGGAGGGGCAAGGCGACGTACACGTCGGGCGCGCAGACGAAGACGCGGCAGAAGCCAGCCGAGCCGAGCACCGCCACGAGCGCCTTGATTCCCGGAGCCTCGATCCCATCGTCGTTCACCACCAGGACAGCTGGCAGCGCGTCATTGGCCGCCATTCTGCTTGTATCGAAGCGAGGAGGAGGAAAGGGAATACGGGAGGACGAGGAGGAGCAGTGACATTAAAGAGCAGATTCGTTACAGCGATGAAAGTCGACGGAGGCACGAGAGAAGGGCGAGAGAGCGCAGATGCAGAAGCAGGCGCGCGGACGGACGAGCTTAACCGGCAGAGGGAGCGGATTAGAACGGCTTTATGCTCAGTAGTGATTCCGAAGGCACGAATGAGTGAGTCGGGCGGAATAATGACGTGTTTGAACGTCCGCAGCAACCGACTCACTCGTGCCTCCGCGGGCGAAATTTCAGTAACCGGGGGCAGCCGGATCTACGCGATGAAGTTCTCGAGGGAGACCTCTGGGACGGAAACTCACTCGCCTATCGAAGGACTAGCACCAAGCCACTAGCGAAATGCGATTCGTGCTTCAAATAGAATGTACGATCTTACGTGAGTTGGTCTTGAAGATGCTGTCTCTGGCTGAACGTCAAGAAACTCGAGATTCCGCTTTTCTGCCGAGGCGTCCGAAAACTACTAGAAAAGACTGGGAATATTGCTGTTGTGTCTGAACGATGGAGCTGCTAGCGTGAGAATGTGGGTGGGACTCTTACCACGTTGTGGCGGAGTTCCGAGTGCGTTTGCCCCATGATCCGAGGCCTTGGATCCGTGTGTTCCGGATTCCGAAGGGCTTGGGCGCAAGGCTCCGCCGCATACGACACGGCCAGCCGCCCACAATTCCGCGCCCACCTGACCGTGAAAAATGTGTTCCAACCAACCTGCCCTGACCCTTTGTGCCAGTGATGTTTGTCGCGAATGACATGTTTCGCCATCGTTACTCTTTGGCCGACAAGTGACGACCGCCGGTCGCATGGCCGGTTGCGACCAACTGGTCTTCCTTGCGTCGTTATATGTTTTAACTCGGTTTTTTTTTTGCTGCCACCTTAAAGCTGCAGCACGTGTGTTCCTTTATACCTTTGATGTTATGTGTTTTATAAATAACATGAGTTCAAGTGTAGCATCCTACGTTTGCTCATTGTGTTTTATAGTCATTGTTTACCAACTGTAGGTGTTCTGCACACGTGGCCATGGCAACAGTTGTTGTCAGAGTCCCAAGGCTGCAAGAGCCAATCAGCGTCTAGTAGGACCATATCCCAACTGTTGTTTTTTGGCGGGAGAATCATCCAGCCCAGGGTTGGATGACCAGATCTGGACACGGGCTTCTGTGTGTGGTGGATGGGTATGAATGGATGTTTTCGTGCTCATTTGCTCCTTTTCATTTGCATTTCATGTTCCGCAAGCTCTTTGAGATCTTTTCTTCCAGCACCTGTTAGTCCACCAGCGTAATCTTTTAAGCCTGCTTGGCCCACTGGCATAACATTGGCGATCCTCGACATAGTGACGTAGGTCGTATAGAGTGGGTTTTTTTTTTGGGTCAGCCCGGTTAGGATAACTGCAGTCGTACTTGTTAGGTCGCAAATGTAGGCGCAGATGTGTGTGGTATAATATTTTGTCGGTAGAACTGTTTGTATTTGCCCGGAACAATTGTCATAGGTCGTCCGCTCTTGTAGGCGGACATCTTCGACGTTAGGCTTCTTTTATCGGTAAAGGTATTCGCTCCCAATCCATAATATCGTCGAACCCACTAAAGTTATGTACAAGCATAAGGGTTCCGTAGATGATTATATCCGTATAATGGTAGGAACTTATTTTCGTTGTTTCGTTGTAGAGAATTAAAGCGGTAAAACAAAGTGTGACAGAGCTATACGGTACGGGACAGTCAAGCGACCCTGTATACGCAAGTTGTAGGCGCAGATATATATGTAAACGCAAGTTGTAGGCGGTGTTCGAAGACCAATGTGTAGACGTCTGAAGCACAGACTCTCTTACGCCTTCTGCGCTTAGCCCACTAAGCATTCTGCCTATGTTATCTGCACACTTGCGAATCGTTACCACCTACCGCGGCTGTCACCATCCGATTCTTTCGTCTAGTCTCGGTTGCTAGCTAATAAATTAGGAATCTGTGAATGGCCGACAGCTCGGTCCACTCTCGCCCCATGGCAGCCCAGGGCGCAGAGGATGGAGAAGAAGACCTAGAGGACGTTGAAAATACTGACCCAGACTACGCACAGGATCGCGAGAACGATAGCGAGTTTGAGGCGACCGAGGAGGATTTGTTTCAGGGTGGTCTCTACGAACCATCCGTCCGGATTCAAGTCCAGGGGAGTGAAGAAGAGAGTGAAGGGCCGGGAGGCGATGGAGTGCGCCCACGACCCGGTGCACCCGAAGAACGGTACGAGGAGGATGGAGATCACTCTGACGCAGAAGAGGAGGGAGAATCATCGCCGGGACGACGACGACCTCCCGATTCTGCGAGCCATGTCGAGCAGGCTGTGGCCCCCGGAAATGCGCAGCGGCAGACCGACGTTGCGGAAAAGGAGAGCAGGATCCGGCGTTCAACAATCCCGCATCGACTGATAGAGGCCGGGACGAGAAGGCACTATTGTTTCCACTTTCTACACTTCAAGTGGTGGGTGATCATCTTCATGGCAACTATGGTAGATGTCCCTGTGGCAGATAGCCTTGCTCCCTCTCTGCATGACGAGGTTGGGTTTCATATGAGCAATAACTTGGGAAACGATGGGTGGTCGTGCAGCTCTGACGACTGGCAGATTCATCTGCACGGGCCGCGAATCACGGAATGGAGGCTCGGCCGATACATCGAGTATCTCTTCTGCGAAACTGACGAGCAGGCAAAGTTTTTGCGTGGAAAAATGCGGCCAGACGTCGAGAAATATGTGGGGAAGGAGGCAAAGGGGTGCACGGCTTCAATGATCAAGGCAAAGATGTCCCTCGGACGAGTGGCTTCATTACTGTGCTATTCTATGCAGGGATGGTCGAGATCAAACCCGTGGATCAATTGGTGATTGCTATACGGGAAGCCAGTATAGGACGCTGCATCTTACTGTTCTGCGAAAAGAGCTCCTAGAGATCTGGTGGCGGACGCCTCCGTCACAAATCTCGCTTCCTCTCTGGAAGGCTCTGCAAGTCCCGGTTATGATGCACCTCGGACACCAATTTCTCGGAAGAGGGTGCAGCATTCGAAAGATTCGACTTGGGAACCTCTTTGTCCGCATGACGCGGAGCACATCACACCTCGACGACTATCTGGACGTTTTCGTACTCGTCGTTGTTTCCAGGAAGTCGAAGACCAACCCCAACAACAAGCTGAATCATCAGTTTCTTGCAAGGCATAGGGACTGGCGGCTCTGCGGAATGGGCCATGTGTTCCTGTGGCTTTATTTCATCTACGACCTCGTTCCTCTGCGCTACGGCCCCGGTATCGTCGAGCCTCTCGACTTTTCTGAACCGATCTTGTGGACGAAAGCGCACCTCTTCTTTTCTTTGAAGAAGGGCGACCAGGGAAAGCAGAAGCAAGACGAGATGCACTACAAAACGCATAACACCTGGATTAAGTGGGCCATGACGAAGGCGAGATGGATTCTGAGCAAGGTAACACATGCATTCCGCAGATCCGGAGCGCAACAACTCCATGACGACGGTTGCTCCGACAACGATATCGGCACTCTGGGCGGATGGGCGCAGGGTGAGTTGCGGAGGTGTTATGTGTTCGGCATACCGTTCAAGCCGGTTTGGCTGTTGGCAGGATTCAGCGGGGATCGTGGAGACTACTACATCGGCAGAGCCCGCGCCAAGCTTCCGCGGCATAAGGTTAAGGAGAAGGATGAGTGGTTGCAGCTCTTGGATCTCTTGAGGCTTCACATTTTCCCCTGGGTCGAAGAGGGTTGGAAGAAGGTACGTGCTAGTGTACAGTCTTCACGTTTGTAGCTTAATTTTGATACGCAATGATGAACCGTCCCATTTCTCCTGCATACTCGTCCCGTCAGGTCGAAGAATGGAACGTTGCGCAGACCGATCCGCTGAAGAGGCACTATGCGGGGGCGAGGTTCCTAGACACCCTCGCGAGCATCGGACGCCTCGTTGTTGCACAGGATCTGGCTATGATGTGGGCGTTCTGCCATCAGCACGGCGTGAGAAACCCGCGGTGCAATTGCGAGAGGCATCCATATGTGCAGATCAGCCCCTTGTGCAACCACCCGCTGTTCCAAAAGTGGGCGTACCTGGTCGCTATCTCTCACTTCCAGGGCGAGAAGCTTCGGGCAACCGGCCAAACCACCGCCAAAGCAGTAAGTGCCTGCTTTTAGTGGTAGAGAGGAGTTATTCGTTCATGCTGAGTTCTGCCGTGCTGGTTTCTGCAGGACGCTATCTTTCGCACGACCGCAGAAGAGAAGCTGCATAAGATGCACCTCACCGCCAATATGCTCAGGGAGGAGCTTGGGATTTTGAGAGGACGTGAAATGCAGTTGGCGATGGAGAACGCTGAACTGAGGGAGAAACTCACCGCTGAGCGAGAGGACAAGGCTCGGGTCATTGCAGAGTTCGAAGCATACAAGAGGTCTGTTGCGGCCAGGGATGACGCGGCAAACACCTCTGCAGAGATCGACGGATCGTCGAAGAGCGTGGGAACAGGAGGAAACCAGGCAACGGACGCATCCAAAGCACCAGTTGCCGTCCAAGAATTCTTCGTCGTGGTCGTTGTGTCTTGGCGCGAAGCCACCACTGTTGCTGCTGCCTGGAAAGTGTGGGTGCAGCCAAGCCTCATCATGGGCGGCCGGTCACTGCGCGAAGTCTTTGCAGAGTTCGACCGGTATAAGAATAAGGACAAGAATTCCAGCTTCATCACCGCATATTCCCGGTTCGCTGTCAAAGGTACGCCCGGGATGGCTGTGGGTGCATGCGAGCGAAAGATGCGTCGCGTGCATCGTGTCATCGTTTCCGTGGAGACACTAAGAAAAGACAGCTCCGAGGCGGCGACCGCAACGGCCATTAAGCTGCTGGACGAGGTTTTACTCGTGTGCAACTTCACGGAATTCACCAACGGCCTGGCTGTGCTGCATGAGACTCCGACCATCAAGAAACAGAAGACCGGTTCGTCGACGGAAAAGAGGACCGTCAACGACCTGGCGCAACGCAGAGTGGGCTGGCTGTTAGTCAAGAAGGGCCTTCGCGACCAGAGGTGGGCAACTTCGCTGTTTGGGGATGATGAGTGGGAGGAGATCCACAAGGAACAGATGGCGCAGGAGAAGGCGGAAGAGGAGAAACAACGAACCGCTGCGGCGAAGAAGGCGGAACGGGAACAGGCGAAGGGCGAAGCGTCGAAACGCAAGGAGCAGAAATGAGGGGGCATGTACCTTAAGGGTGGGGCGGTTTAGTTATTTGGGTACTTTATTCCGGTTGTACCGAATATGCACTACAGGCACTTGTCTGTCTCTGTAGAAGCCCGATTTGGGGCTTGTATGCCACCTTATTCCCTGGGCGCGCTGTTTTTCGTAGAATGTTTTTCTGGTGTATGCAATGAAGCACACATCGATGGTATACACCGGGCGAAATTCTGCGGAGTCATGTCGTATCGTATACGATTTTATTCTACAGAGCGCCGTCGATGAATTCACTCTCACGATTGTAGATGTGTGTTCTTAGGTCACTCGGTAGACTTTTGCGTGGATTTATTTAGTCTCAGCATATGTTTCTGGGCAAAGCAGTGTCATATTCTACTAGTAGCAACGAAGATCCTATCCATGACGGTAGATATTATCAACACGTCGGTTTTTCTGCGGTATAGTGGCGTTTCCAATTTGCCTCCAGAATTCGGCGTCGAGGAATTCAATCTCCATAGCAGAAAGGTCTGTGCATATGAATACCGTATACGTTCTTAACAAGGTGCTCCCTTAGACAAGATGTTATGCGATTGTTTAGCCCCATACTTCTACCTCTTCGTAGAAGCCGAGTATTAAACGTAGATTAAGTGTCGTAGAAGGCCGTCCTGTCGTCAATTTTTTTATTCGCCTGGTCCTCCCTTTGATGGCGAGTTCTATCGGCTGCATTGCTAGCTCCATACGCGCCCTACAAATTTTGCTAGTGTAGTGAAGGTTTGCATAGCAAAAATACATCTCTCATTGTATTGTATACAACAACACCTATATTTATACACGGTTAAATAAAAAAAACGAAAAGGAAAATCTATTTCTACTGCGGTACTAACAAGACCTCCAAAGAACCTGTCTGCCTCTATCAATCCTGGCCGCCAGTGCCGGTGTTCTCCTCCGTCGACGCATCCTTCGTCGCGTTCCCCTTCGCGGACGATTTCTTGGTTTTCTTCTCCTTATCCGCCCCTGTTGTGGTATCCCGGCCGCCCAACTTCTTCTGCAGGACTCCGAGCCAGACGCCCTGGTGCTGGCGAAGGCCTCTTGATGCCATGCTGCATAGGCACCAAGAGGTCACCACCTTTGCCACCACCCTCGTCATCCGCTTCGCATCCTCGGCCGCTCGCGACTCTGCCGGAAGCGCTTTCAGCAGCGCATCCGACAGGGGCAGAATCCACGCTTCCTTGTCATGCTCCTGATCCTTTACCGACCTCATCGCCTCAACCGCAACGCAAGCAACCGAGGCTGCAAGCGTCGCAAGGGCATTGTGGACGGCAGAGGGCACATCGGCCGCAGAAGATGACGAGGCATCCGACGAGGCGGTGGCAGCAGTGGACGATCTGGCAGCAGAAGATGCTATGGCCGTAGAAGTTCCACGTGCAGCTGTTGTTGCGCCCGTCTCCCACTGGGTCTGGTCCACATTCGTGGATGCGGCCCACATTACAGACAACGTGGCGGCAAGTCCGATTGCATGTTCTTCCGTCGAATAGCCGTTTTCACCCTCCACGCCTCCCACCATCTTCTGCCACGCAGTTATTCCGACACCAGCGCAGGCAGCTACCTGAAAGCCATCCCCCTGCTGCTGCCGAAGAGCCATGTTGGTTTGAACGAGTGAGAATCTGCACAAGACACCAGTGTCGCAAGATCAGAACCATCGAACTTCGCGGGTGTTTAGAAGTTGCAACTGTACATCACATAAACACTCACCCGTCCGGTTTGTCCAGATGGAGTTCGTTGATGACGCTCCACACCCCTGTTGGAAGCCACGTTGTGAAGTCGAGGTCTTCCCGCCACTTGTTAATACGGTTTGGATTCATGCCGTATGCCTGCATGTCAATATCCGGGAAGTAGAACTTCCAGCAGACTGCGACCGTGTATGCCCTCTCCCACACCGTTTTGTGAGAGCCGAGGTTCCGCTTCCGGCCGCCGACGGTCTGCTCAGACGTCCACTTCTGCAAAGCTCCCTCGCCCCGTTGAGAGAACCCGCTTCCCCTGAACGGCAGGCAGACACCCAAAGTCTTACCCTTGTCGTCCACTACGGCGTTTTTCCTGTTGTCACACTTGTCGATCTTCATCCCTTTCTTTTCCCCTTGGATTATGGGTATCAACTCCTGTATTCCAGCTGCACGCCGTCTCTTAGCCGCATGACCCTCCGGCTCCCTGTCCTCTTGTCTAGGCCGCCTCCTGGACACCTCTACATTCCGTACAGGAACACTAGGCACGCCCTCTGCTACATTCGCCTCCCCGCTCTCAATCAACAGCAAAGTCCCCAACCCCTCAACTATTTCCTCCTCGACTCCTGTCCAGGTCCCCTCCCCCTGCATGGTCAAATCCTCCTCGACTCCTGTCCAGGTCCCCTCCCCCTGCATGGTCAAATCCTCCTCTTCCATCTCCCTTGCCAATCGTTCCGTCTCTTCAGCCATCGCCTTTGCCTTTGCCTCCAGTTGCCGCTGCTGTTCCGCGTAGGATGCAAGTCTGGCCCTCTTCTCTGCTCGGCATTGCTCCGCCTTCTGCAGGCGCTCCATCTCCTGCTGTTTCGCCCTCTGCTGCCGCTCCGCCTCCTCTGCCTCCTTCTTCTGCGCTTCCTCCTTCTGCAGGCGCTCCATCTCCTGCTGTTTCGCCCTCTGCTGCCGCTCCGCCTCCTCTGCCTCCTTCTTCTGCGCTTCCTCCTTCTGCAGGCGCTCCATCTCCTGCTGTTTCGCTCTCTGCTGCCGCTCGGCCTCCTCTGCCTCCTTCTTCTGCGCTTCCTCCTTCTGCAAGCGCTCCATCTCCTGCTGTTTCGCCCTCTGTTGCCGCTCGGCCTCCTCTACCTCCTTCTTCTGCGCTTCCTCCTTCTGCAGGCGCTCCATCTCCTGCTGTTTTGCCCGCTGCTGCCGCTCGGCCTCCTCTGCCTCCTTCTTCTGCGTCTCCTCCTTCTGCAGGCGGTCCAATTCCTGCTGTTTCGCCCTTTGACGCCGCTCTACCTCCTCTGCCTCCTTCCTCGGCCTGTCCTCCTCCTGCAGGCGCGCCATCTCCTGCTGTTTCTCCCTCTCGTGCCTCTCGGCCTCCTCTGCATATTTCCGCTGCGCCTCCTCCTTCTGCAGGAGCGCCATCTCTTGCTGTTTCTCCCTCTCCACCCGCTCTGCTTCCTCTGCCTCCTTCCTCTGCGCATCCTCCTTCTGTCGCCGATCTCCCTCCGTTGCCTTCCTACCCTGCTCCTCCTTTTGCCGCCGCTCTGCGTCCAATCTCAGAACCATTGACAGCTGCTTTTCCACCTCACTTATCATCCCCTCACCTGCGAGATTCCTCTCCACTGCTCTCTGGTGAAGGGTGGGCCGCCTCTGCCTGTTGAGATCCACTGTATCCCTAGGCGCCCCATCGTCTGCCACCCTCCATGGCCCCTCTACCCCGGTTCCTGGTCCCCGCGTCGGACTTCCTCCCAAAAATATCCGGACTGCCGGATGTACCGTATCCTCCTCATTCTGCTCCTCTTCTGTTTCCAGCGCATCTCCCTCGTAGTGCCCCACTCCAGCCTCCGGGACGACACGAACCTCCTCCATAGTATTTTGACGCCCTGTCTCTGCCATGCTCTGCGTCTCTCGGTATGCGAATACCTGCGACGCTGCCTCCTCGTTATGCTGCCCCTCTTCCTCTGCGATGATGTGCCCCTCAGCACCCGCCGTCTCCCGTCCCTCTGTCTGTACCATTTTATTCCCATCTGAACCGTCCTCTCCATCTGGCTTCCTTTGTGCGTCTGCCTCAGCCTGCTTCTGCTCCTCGGCCTCTGACATCTTCTGCACAACACCCTCCGCCTTCTTCTTCGCCTCTACAACGGCCTTCTTCCGCGCTTCAGCCCGAGCCAGTTGTAGTGCCTCTTCCGCAGCCTGTTTCTGCTCCTCTGCCTCCGCCTTCTGCCGCGCCGCTGCTTCTGCCTTATTCCGAGCCTCTCCTTCCTTATGTGCGTCTGCCTCCTCCATATGCAGCGCCGCTGCCTTATCCTTCTCCCTCGCCGCTGCCTCTGATTCCTTCTGCGCCTCTGCCTCAACCATGTTCGACGCCGCACCCTCCTCCTTCTGCAGCGCCGCTGCCTCTGATGCCTTCTGCGCCTCTGCCTCAACCATCTTCGGCGCCGCACCCTCCTCCTTCTGCAGCGCCGCTGCCTCTGATGCCTTCTGCGCCTCTGCCTCAACCATCTTCGGCGCCGCACCCTCCTCCTTCTGCTGCGCCGCTGCCTCTGATTCCTTCTGCGCCTCTGCCTCAACCATCCTCGGCGCCGCACCCTCATCCTTCTGCTGCGCTGCTGCCGCTGATTCCTTATGTGCGTCTGCCTCATCATTCTGCTGCGCCGCTGCCTCATCCTTCTGGCTCGCCATTGCCTCTGATTCCTTCTGCGCCACTGCCTCCACAACCATCAGCTCGACTGCCTCCGACGTCAGCTCTGCTGCTGCACCCGCTTCTTTACGCGCGACTGCCTCCGCACCCTTGACCGCCTCTGCACCCACCTTCTGCTGCGCCGCAGACTCTGCTTCCTTTGGCGCCCCGTCCTCTGCCGTAAGTACCGCCTCTGCATCGACGAACCGATGGGCCGCATCCTCTGCATTCTGGTGCGCCTCTACCTCCACCATCTTATGAGCCTTAGCACCCGCGTTGCTCTCCTCCTTCTTTTTCGCCTCTCCCGAATTCTCTGGCACGTCGACGTCCCCTCTCCGGGCCTCTTCTGCCGCCTTCCGCTTTAGGCTGGGCAAGCGAACTTTCACGTATCCCCTATCCTCCTCGATATGCTGCCGCACATTGCTGGCGAGCTCCTCTCCTGCCTCTCCCACGTGTGCCCTTGCAGCGGCTCGTGCCCCACGCTCCCATGCTTCACGTATGTCTCCAGTTCCCGGGAAAGAGACGGTAGGATCGGTGCCGCCATCACTGCGCCGCTGCATCTCTTCAGCCCGTCTACTCTTGGCTTCTGCTTCGACCATCCGCTTTTCATCAGCCGCCTTCCTCCAGTGCTCCTCTGCCTGTTCGACCTGACTTGGCAGCTGTGGATCTTCTACACCCTCCTCGCCTTCATCTGCTACGCTTGCCAAGTCGGTCTCCGTCCGTGCTTCGCGTTCCCGCGGCCTCCTAACCCGATCAGCAAACCTGTGCTGCCTATCTCCAGACCTATCACGCTCGTCAGCAGTGGCTGCCCTTGATGTCGGGCCACTCAGTACTGCATCCCTCGGTGCAGGTCGGCGGGAATATGAAATAAACCCAACTCTTGGATTTGCGTCCCGGTTTGCGGCAGGTACGTCTATCTGTCCCTCTACCGCTTCGGATCTGTTCTGTGCGGGTGCGCTCTCTACCACTCGAGCACAGTGGGTCGTCATGACTGCATCCGGGGCGGGACGGAGCTGGACTCCTTGTAGGTCGAAGAAGGCCCTGCAGGTCGACTCCAACATACTCCGAATTTCTTTGGCGCTGTTTTTCCCCTTCCCTAAGACCATCATCGGCTCTACAGACTGAATCGCCATGACATCCCCCCATTTGTCCAGCAACTTGCTGAACACATGGGTAACATGCAGCCCGGAACCCACTTGCCTCTGTCCCTGAACCTTGTTGATCTGCAACATGTGCGTGAAAAGGTGGTTGTCAGACACTCCCGTTACTTTGTACAAGCTTGATATCATACAATGCTTAAATCATAAGAATAGAGGCTCCTTCCTTACCCTGCCTTCCTCCAGAATCAGATCATTTAGGCGAGCCCTCAAATCTTTCTGCACCGCTTCGGCGTGGCTGCCAGAGACCCTGCGACCTCGGCTGTATTCCACATCTAGTTGTCGGATAAGCCAGCTGCAGGGCAAGGGGGTCGCAAATAATCAATATCATGCGTCCACACAAACCGCACATCTGCTTAAGGAGTGATACCTACTCGAACACCTCCTTGGCATGCTCGCTGTGGCGATGGGTTGGGATTGCAGATTTAGGGTCGAAGTGTAGCACACGCGTACGGTACTCTCCGCGGGGATGTGCTAACAAATCTTGCGGGTTCATCAGCACCATGAGACTGATCGCCGTCGAGCGAACAACAGCGACTCTGCGGTACATGGAAGTTTGGATTAGCAAGATAGCTGGTGTCATCGACAAACGTTGCGGATACATGTCAGGAAACTCACTCTGATATCATGGGTATTAAAACCATCTGGTAGTCCAACAGCGACCGATGTTCGCTGCCACAACTGGGGACACGCGGGACAGCAGACCTCAAACGCCGATGCTCGGTAGGAGCCAGAATCTTTATGTCTTTGCAAACGCGAGGATCCCCAATCTTGTCCTTGGCAACCTCCCTGCATCCAAGCCGACATGTCGCAGAGGTAAGAAGATAGCAGGTGCCTGTCTAAAAAACAAGGGTTCAACGTGTCGATGAAGTCAGCGTGCGTTACAAACCGCGCTTCGATACATACACTAGGCCGAAAAGTAACAACGCCTCGTTCCACTCTTCCTGACGAGCGATTAACCTTTCATAAGACTCCCGCCCTAGTCGTACCGACAATCCGCAGCCGTTTGTGATTAGCTGGGACGACATCGCGTAAGTATGCCAGAAGATGGCAGGTAGCTAAACGGTTACTAACAAACACTCTCTACCTGCAGGATAAGAGGCCGACACTAGAATGAGAGGGAAGCTTGTGAGACTAGTTGTGGAACCTCGACTCAGATTGGAATGGCGAGAATGACGTCGAGCTTTGGTGCACCCACCCTGATCCCAACTTCAGCTTCGCTGGTAGAATTGGTTGTGCTCTGTCCTCAAACGCCAGGCGTAGTAAGAATTTTCTGCCCCATGGCTCAAAATATTAGGCTTCTCACCATTTCCCTTCGAACATTTGCGAACTACTCTTTGCCATGTTAGCATATTGCATGTTCTGCGGTGCCATTGCATGGTCTCAGCTTTGCCTCGACCTCGTACGAAATGGTGACGGGCAGCCCCTAAAAGAAACGAATGGTGTCCTGTGACAGGTTAATGACAGGCTGCCACGTATAGCTATCCCATCCGCATGGTTCCCTCCGCAACCTGGAAATAGAGCTGTCTCTGCGACCTGTCACACGTGTCAGAAATCGAATGACACCCTACATCCGAGAGTACCGCTATAGGGGTACTTGTGTAGCACGTATAGTACTAGTTTTTGTAATCCATAATTCAAACACAAGCATGAACTTTGCATGATTAGCACACCCAATACTATAACGGGTAATCCTATAAGTGTGAGATGAGTGCCCTATCATTAGCACCCGTATAACAGTGGCATTGGAGTACAAAACAAATGTTGTACATTTCACCAAAGTGCTCTGCTCCCGCCTGCAGAGGAGAGAGTGAAAAACATACTACACGTCTACGAAAAAAGATGAATTTCAAGTGGGGGTCTGGAATATGTGTGGTGAGAGTCCCCTATAAAAATCAGCTCATTTGCTCAAAGAAAAGTGGGTGATTACAATTGAAACCTGATTGCAGGCAATTCTGCACAGAATTCTGCAGACTGCTGCACAGCAAGGCTTAAAACACATATCAAACCTTGGGCAAATGAGGTGAATTTCATGTGGGGGTCTGAAATATGTGTGGTGAGAGTCCCATACAAAAATCAGCTCATTTGCTCAAGAAGAAGCGGGTGATTTCAATTGAAACCTGATTGCAGGCAATTCTGCACAGAATTCTGCAGACTGCTGCACAGCAAGGCTTAAAACACATATCAAACCTTGGGCAAATGAGATGAATTTCATGTGAAGGTCTGGAATATGAGGGATCAGAGTCCCCTACAAAAATCAGCTCATTTGCTCAAGAAGAAGCGGGTGATTTCAATTGAAACCTGATTGCAGGCAATTCTGCACAGAATTCTGCAGACTGCTGCACAGCAAGGCTTAAAACACATATCAAACCTTGGGCAAATGAGATGAATTTCTTGTGGGGGTCTGGATTATGTGTGGTGAGAGTCCCCTATAAAAAACAGCTCATTTGCTCAAGGAGAGGTGGGTGATTTCAATTGAAACCTGATTGCAGGCAATTCTGCACAGAATTCTGCAGACTGCTGCATAGCAAGGCTTAAAACACATATCAAACCTTGGGCAAATGAGATGAATTTCATGTGGGGGTCTGGAATATGTGTGGTGAGAGTCCCCTTTAAACATCAGCTCATTTGCTCAAGGAGAAGTGGGTGATTACAATTGAAACCTGATTCCAGGCAATTCTGCACAGAATTCTGCAGACTGCTGCACAGCAAGGCTTAAAACACATATCAAACCTTGGGCAAACGAGGTGAATTTCATGTGGGGGTCTGGAATATGTGTTGTGAGAGTCCCCTTTAAACATCAGCTCATTTGCTCAAGGAGAAGCGGGTGATTTCAATTGAAACCTGATTGCAGGCAATTCTGCACAGAATTCTGCAGACTGCTGCACAGCAAGGCTTAAAACACATATCAAACCTTGGGCAAATGAGATGAATTTCTTGTGGGGGTCTGGAATATGTGTGGTGAGAGTCCCCTATAAAAATCAGCTCATTTGCTCAAGGACAAATGGGTGATTACAATTGAAACCTGATTCCAGGAAATTCTGCACAGAATTCTGCAGACTGCTGCACAGCAAGGCTTAAAACACATATCAAACCTTGGGCAAATGGGATGAATTTCATGTGGGGGTCTGGAATATGTGTGGTGAGAGTCCCCTACAAAAATCAGCTCATTTTCTCAAGGAGAAGTGGGTGATTACAATTGAAACCTGATTGCAGGCAATTCTGCACAGAATTCTGCAGACTGCTGCACAGCAAGGCTTAAAACACATATCAAACCTTGGGCAAATGAGATGTATTTCATGTGGGGGTCTGGAAAATGTGTGGTGAGAGTCCCCTACAAAAATCAGCTCATTTTCTCAAGGAGAAATGGGTGATTACAATTGAAACCTGATTCCAGGCAATTCTGCACAGAATTCTGCAGACTGCTGCACAGCAAGGCTTAAAACACATATCAAACCTTGGGCAAATGAGATGAACTTCATGTGGGGGTCTGGAATAAGTGTGGTGAGAGTCCCCTATAAAAATCAGCTCATTTGCTCAAGGAGAAGTGGGTGATTACAATTGAAACCTGATTCCAGGCAATTCTGCACAGAATTCTGTAGACTGCTGCACAGCAAGACTTAAAACACATATCAAACCTTGAACAAATAAGGTGAATTTCATGTGGGGTTCTGGAATATGTGTGGTGAGAGTCCCCTACAAAAATCAGCTCATTTTCTCAAGGAGAAGTGGGTGATTACAATTGAAACCTGATTCCAGGTAATTCTGCACAGAATTCTGCAGACTGCTGCACAGCAAGGCTTAAAACACATATCAAACCTTGGGCAAATGAGGTGCATTTCATGTGGGGGTCTGGAATATTCGTGGTGAGAGTCCCCTATAAAAATCAGCTCATTTTCTCAAGGAGAAGCGGGTGATTTCAATTGAAATCTGATTCCAGGCAATTCTGCACAGACTTCTGCAGACTGCTGCACAGCAAGGCTTAAAACACATATCAAACCTTGGGCAAATCAGGTGAATTTCTTGTGGGGGTCTAGAATATGTGTGGTGAGAGTCCCCTACAAAAATCAGCTCATTTGCTCAAGGAGAAGCGGGTGATTTCAATTGAAACCTGATTGCAGGCAATTCTGCACAGAATTCTGCAGACTGCTGCAGAGCAAGGCTTAAAACACATATCAAACCTTAAGCAAATGAGATGAATTTCATGTGGGGTTCTGGAATATGTGTGGTGAGAGTCCCCTATAAAAATCAGCTCATTTGCTCAAGGAGAAGTGGGTGATTACAATTGAAACCTGATTGCAGGCAATTCTGCACAGAATTCTGCAGACTGCTGCACAGCAAGGCTTAAAACACATATCAAACCTTGAGAAAATGAGATGAATTTCATGTGGGGGTCTGGAATACGTATGGTGAGAGGCCCCTTTAAAAATTAGCTCATTTGCTCAAGGAGAAGTGGGTGATTACAATTGAAACCTGATTCCAGGCAATTCTGCACAGAATTCTGTAGACTGCTGCACAGCAAGACTTAAAACACATATCAAACCTTGAACAAATAAGGTGAATTTCATGTGGGGTTCTGGAATATGTGTGGTGAGAGTCCCCTACAAAAATCAGCTCATTTTCTCAAGGAGAAGTGGGTGATTACAATTGAAACCTGATTCCAGGTAATTCTGCACAGAATTCTGCAGACTGCTGCACAGCAAGGCTTAAAACACAGATCAAACCTTGGGCAAATGAGGTGCATTTCATGTGGGGGTCTGGAATATTTGTGGTGAGAGTCCCCTATAAAAATCAGCTCATTTTCTCAAGGCGAAGTGGGTGATTACAATTGAAACCTGATTCCAGGCAATTCTGCACAGACTTCTGCAGACTGCTGCACAGCAAGGCTTAAAACACATATCAAACCTTGGGCAAATGAGATGAATTTCATGTGGGGGTCTGGAATATGTGTG